GGCCGCTGGTTTCCCACCGCGGCGGTCCGGGTTCGATCCCGGGTCTGGTCAAGTGGTATTTGTGGTGCATAAAGTGGCGCTGGGGCGGGTTTTCTCCGAGTACCTCGGTTTCCCCTGCCAATCTTCAGTCCACCGACCCTGAAGATGGAGGCGATGCATTCCTCCGAAACGTCGGTTAATACCACATCTACACGGTGCCACATCCCAGATGACTGTTTTCTTCGTTTACACATTTCTTTTCTTACTGTCATATAATTATGATAATCTTATTCAGTTGAAAATTAAGGAAGTCAACTCTCGAAAGAAAATTTAATGAACTGTTTTAAATATTTAAAACGATGATAAATTTGAAGTTTCAGTTCTTGCGTCAGAAACTTCAGAAGTTCATGCGCAAACATAACCTTACTTTCTGCCACCTGCGCTGCTGTAGTTCTCTGATTCTTCGAAATAGTCCTTCTCAATGTACGGCGATCTCTTTCTGTCAATGTTGAATTTCGCCCACTGTTCCTTTTCGCTGATGTTGTCTTCCATATAATTCGTATATGTCGACATAACCTTAGAGGGAGTCGCTCTCGATACCCTCAATAATGTGGCAGTTTTCATCACAGATGCTCCATCTAAACGCGCACCTTTCAAAATATGACAAATCCCCCATTTTACGATTCTTTCAACAGGACTGTCACTGAACATAACCATTAATACGCTGGTACGAACACTACGTATTGTAAACAAACGGAAGAACTTTCAGTGTTGCCAACTGAAGTTCTATCGATGCTGTCAACACAAATTCTGTTCCTTAGTTTCTTGGTCCTTCCATTATATTGTCCACCCCCTATATTTTATAAATGTATCTTATAAATGTTTCTTGGTGTATTTCGCAGTACAGCGTTCTTATTCTCAATCGTCGAATATGTGTACATATTATACTTTCCTTTAGTTGGATCTAAGCTTGAGTATGCCTCTGTTATTTGGAATTATATTACGTCTACTGATGCCGAGAATCTTGGAACGCACCCAGTAGAAAATTTCAATCCCTTGTTTTATCGTTTCTTTCACCGTGTCAATTACAATTATGCTTAAAATACAGAACCTTTGAAAGTGCACACTTATCCGAGACGACGTATCAGCCCGCTACGCTGCTTCTTATTCAAATTTATCTTTTGCAAAATCTTGTTCTTCGAGTCTCTGCTCGGTATATCGAGAAATTTCTACGCTATATATCTGTATGCCCTTCAAGCGAATGGTTCCTCTGCTAGACCCTCTTCAGCCCCTATTTTTTTTTATGGGCACTGACATATTTGCAACCAAAAAGTGTTTATCTTAATTATAATTTATAATTGTAATTCTTAATAATATATCTAATAGTTTTAACCGTAGCATGGTTGTTAATTAACAAAATTGTGTAAATTGTACACTTTGCCTTGATTTGCCTTTTGTCCGTGTGCATATGTGTATTCTATTTTCTCTTTGCTAGTACTTATTTTATAATTGGCTTTTAGGTTACTGAGTAAGCACGTAAATATTAAGAAATAAATTATTATTACTGTTATTAATATTATTATTATCATGTTGTGTTTTTCCAATATGTAATTACTTTTATCTACACTGTGCTGTGTCTGTAATTGGCCTGTGGCTGTTGACTCGGCACATAAATAATAAAGAATTGAATTAAATTCAATTGAATATATAATACAAATTCCGTCCTAAGTGCAACAATTTATTGTAGGTCTTTCGTTTTGCTTTCTTCTACACTACATGTTTCAGCCGCAAACGGCCATCATCAGGTGTGTACACTCACGTAGCTGTTACACTGCACCCAGTTTAAAATTAAAAACATACAGGTCTTCCCAATTGTTCCCTTCGTCGCTGCTAACAGGATCTACTTCGAAGGAAACAATTGGGATGACCTGTTTGTTTTTAATTTTTAATTTTAAACTAAGTGCAGTGTAACAGCTACGTAAGTGTATACACCTGATGATGGCCGTTTGCGGCTGAAACATGTAGTGTAGAAGAAACCAAGACGAAAGACCTACAATATATTGTTGCACTTAGGACGGAGTTTATATCATATGTCGTATAGAGTGCAACAAGATGCTTAAATATAATATTGAACTGAATAATTATAAATAGTGGTAGTTACTGTCTTGTTTAATACTGTTGCATAAATTTTGCCTCCTTTAAAAATCTTTTAGGTATACAACTTCAAAGTTCACTCCATTATCATGTTTCGAATTATCAACCAATAAATATTGTTTCATATGTAATTTGTGTGACTCTATACAATGCACATTCGAATAATTTTACGTATCCCTCGTTTCAATCTTCCTCTGTTTATTGCTCTCAGAGTGAAAATTTCGCAAGGCCGCTGTTTCATTAGTTTATATTGTTCAGAAATATATTACCTAAAACACTTGCATACCTATAAACATCTATTACCAATAGCAATTTCCGGATACTATACTAAATTATTTTTAGTGCCGCTCCCGTCTTGTTCGTCCGCCATGCTGATAATACTAAGTATAGGGAATTACGAAAGAGGAGGATGGGGGTGATTTCCTGTGGCATGAGTCAAAATTTGTTAAAATCAGTCAGTTGTTTAAAAATTTGAAGAAAAAATATATAGACAAACAACATAGTGGTTCCATAAGCCTATATTTTTCCGTTTAAGAAAGGAGAATAGGCTAAAAACTGTGTATTTTAGACATTGCCCATTTTCTTGGGTATTTTTAAATAACATGCAAGAAAATGGGTCTATTTCCGTCACCGGACGTAAGGGAGGAAATGTTTCTACTCAGCTAGGCCTGTTAGAAAGTTCCAATCTCCATCGTTGGACTGGTTATTTTGCAAAAAACGCAGTAATTAACAAGGGGGCAGGATATGTACGTGTAACGCAATACATGAGGAACCTTCAGATATTTCATCTGTGAAATTAATGAATGGGATGGCCCTG